CCCGCGTACGGCGCCAGCACCATGCCCGGGTCGCTGCAGGCGCCTGGCTCGGCTGCGACGCGCAGAGAGGAGGCCGGAGCGGGATACTCCAGTTGCATCCTTCCCCTTCTCTCCTGCGCGGCCGCACGCTGCAGCCTCCCGGCCCCAAATGCGGGAAGCCCTGTCCCGGCTCCGTTAAAACTCTGCCACAGCCCAGCCCCCGACAAAGTCCCTCCTCTGGCCCGGAGCAGCGCGGGGGCCGCCCAAGGCGGAGCGAGGGGGGAGCAGGGGCCGGTTGTCTGTCTCTTGCTGGATCTCAGCGGTGCCTGAGCCGACAGGGCAGGACCGAGGCGTCTGGGGAGGAAACGCAACCTCGGGCTGGCAGATCCAGCCTGGCCAGCGCAGCAGTTCCCAGACAGTGGGTGGGACGGGGAGAGGCAACGGATGGCGGGGCAGCGTGGAGAGGTGGGGAGGGCTACTGCCAGGCTCGTCCCCACCGGGACCCCCCCAGCTCCGTCCCTCTGGGCCTGGCAGGTTTCTCGCCAAGGGTGCTGGAGCTAGGGGGGGCTGGCCACGTGCCCAGATAGGGATGCACCTTGCGGGGGCCTGGGACCGTGGAGCCCGAGCTCCCAGCCAGCGCTGCGTTTCCAGCGGGGAGAGGAGAGGCCAGGCTGGGGGCTGCAGGTGGGGGCATGGTCGTGCACGAGGCTGCCGGGAGCTTGGCTTCCCCGGGCAGAAGATGCTGGTTTGTCCCGGCAGCAGGGGCTCCTCCAGGCTCCCGCTCCCTGTGGCGGAGGCTCAGGAAAGTCCCAGGTCCCTGAGCGGCGCTCCCCTGGACTCCTGCACCCCTCTTCCACCGCTCGGGCACCAAGACGACCCCTCCATCCTGCAGCCACCTGCCAGCCGGGAGCCCCAGGGGCACGATGCACGAGTGCCCCTCGGCGCTCGCCCTGCCCGCATGGCCGTGCCCGCCTCAGGGCACGTCAGCGGCAGCCTGCCCCCCATGCCTCCCCGGGGCCGTGTCCCGGGCCGGGCTCTCATGGCCACGTGCTCCCAAGGGTCAGTGTTTCCTGGCGGCCAGCCCTGCCTTCCCAGCTCACATCCTGTCCCCTGCTCAGCGCACAGCTGCGGAGCCAGAGCCCCAGGGGCTGGGGAGCGGGGAGCCGGGGACAGGCAGTGCCTGGGAGGGGATCCACGAGGTCCCAGGAATGTCCCTGCCCCGAATCGGGGCCGGAAACTCTCAGAGCGCGAGCGCCTGCTTTCTCCCTGGGCTTCCCGCTGGGTGACCAGGGACGGGCTTTGGGATTCCCGCAGTGCTCGCTGGCTCTTGGCTTTTTTTAAACTTCCCTTAACAATTTGCTCAAAGCTTGAAACAGAAAACTCTGCCCCCCCCAACCTGGGAAGAAGAAACTTTCTGGCTGGGAAACGTCCAGCTGGGCTGTGGCGAAGCCTGCCAGACTGCTTTCCAGGGGCTGCGCAGCTGTTCACGCAGGGACAGCGACCAGGCTCTGGAAACAGCATGTTTTATTCAAGTATCCATCTAAAAACGCAGGGTCCCTGGGTGGTGTGTGGCTCCCCGCTGCACCAGCCGGAGCGGGGGCATCGCAGCTGTCCTGATCCAAAGCAGACCAAATGTTCTGAATAAATACAGAGAGTCGCATCCCGACCCCTTGTCCCCAGTCTGGGCTCGGCTCCCGGCACACCAATCCTTGCGCGCAGAGCATGCGTCTGCACGGCGCGGCCGACTGAAGCGCTGCCGGTCCCATTGGCGCTGGACCCGTCTCAAGCCCCCGGCCGGCAGGTTGGAGCGTGCGGGGCACGTGGCCGCGCCAGGGCTGCGCTCGACGTGGGGCTCCGTGACGAGGGCTGCGACTGACGCGGGGTGGGGGATGCAAGCTGGTGGGAATCGCCTCTCCCGTGCTACCTGTGGGAGCTCCTGGGGGGGGTCGAGGCCCTGTCCTGATCCCAGCTCATGCTCTTTCGCTCTCTCTCCCTCTCAGCAGCTCAGGGCTGGCACAACTGCTTCAGGATCTGGATGATGTGGCTGGACCCATCAGTGGCACTTGGTGGCACGGCGTCCTGGAGCAACTGCGGCCCCATCCGCTGGGCACAGTGGAAGAGCTCGCGAGCGAACACCGGCTCGATCTGCAAAGCCAGAGCGGGCAGGTCACCCCGGGCAGGAGGCGGGGAGGCTTGCCTGCTCCTGGCCATGCAAGCACCCCTGGGGCCACCTCCCCGGCAGCTTGCTCCTTGCTGCTCCGACATCCCAGCAGGCGAGTGGGGATGGAGGGAGTGCGGGCGCCTTGCGGCAACAGGAGCTCGGCCCCGCTCTGCCCCACGGGGGCAAGAGACCGGGCAGCCCGTGTTGCCCCCTGAATGCACGCCGCGGCGTGCCGCCCCGGGTACTCACGTGGGCCATGATGAGCTTCTGGAAGTTCTGCCCGGGGCTGGCGGGGAACTCCTCCCCGAAGCAGAGGTGGATCTGGTACTGGGGCGCGGGCTCCCCACGGCTCAGGTACCCGCGCAGTTCTGCAACCACAAGCATTTGCAGCGGTGACTCGGGGCTGTCCCAGCGGAGCGAGGCAGCGCTGGGCAGGAGCGCAGGTGCCGGCTGGAATATGCCAGCGTGCCCGCCCGATTCACAGAGCAGCAGTGCTGCAGCCCCCAGCGTGACGTGGCTGTTGTGGGGCCTCCTGGCCCCCGCAGCGTGGGCTGGGGCGCTGGGGGAGCAGCGGGACAAGGCAGGCAGCACGGCCGAGTGGGTTGGGGAGCCCCCACGTAACCCAACAGGGCACAGCACCCTCCTGACCCCATCCTGGGAGGCCAGGAGAGCAGGGAGGTGCAGGCTGCCTGCCCTTATCGCGCCAGAGCCCTTGCCTGGGACGATACGGTGCCGCTGGGCTGGGCTGGGCTGGGCACTTACGCTGCAGGAACTGCTGGGTGTCCAGGAGTTTGTAGGTCTTCTCTCTCTCCAGCTTGTTGGGCTGGTCGTGGTGCGGCGCCAGGGGCCCGTTCCAGTACACCCGGCCCTGGCACTGGCGCTTCATGAAGACACCCTCGGGGGCCACCCACAGGAGGACGCCGCGGTCCAGGTGAGGCAGGAGTCGCTCCAGGACGTCCAGGGCGCTGGCCACCCCGCTGTGGGCACTGAGCAGGCGCGGGGGCGGGAAAGGGATCTGCTCCATGCAGGACGGGCCGTAGAGGCGCTCGTTGTCGGGGGGCACGGGGCGGTAGGTGATGCGGCAGCCCTCGGCCGTGTGCGTGGTGAACTCGGTCACCAGCACGTCGCAGTAGTACAGCCGGATGTGTAGCCAGCAGTCTGCGGGGCACAGCAGGGTTGGGGAAGGGCGTCGGGGCGAGGGCCGTCCCGTGCACGGGGCAGCTTCACCCCGGCAAGGCGGCCCCCGAGCAGCTGCTGCCCTGTCCCGGCAGGCACGGGAGGAGGTGGGCCGTCTTCTGGGGGACGCCCTCGCTAGGAAGTGCGCGTCTGGCAACCTTCCCCCCCAGCCAACCCCCTTCCCAGGGGAGCTGGCGGCCCGCAGCCTGCGACCAGCTCCGGCTGCTGTGTGCAAAGGGGACGGCAGGTGGCTCCACGGAGCAGCCGGTGTCTGCGCAGCCCTGCCCGGGCTCCCTGCCCGCCACGCTCCTCCTCGCCCAGCACGGCTGCGGGCAGGGGGCCCCCGAGCTCCGAAACCCCCAGGAGTGAGGCGTGCCTGGACCCCGCGGGGCAGAGGATGCTGCTGGCACCTCCACTCCCTACCTGAGTTGTTGATGTTGTCGACGGGCAGGTAGCTGGGGCAGGACGGTGGGCTCTGCAGCAGGTGGCCGTGGGCTGGGTTCCAGCCGTAGAAAACCCCCTTCACTCGGTATCCTGGGAAGGAAGCAGGCAGGGAGATGGTGGAGGGGGCGTCTGCCTGGAGCTTTCCCAGGTCGTGCGCCTTCTGTCCTTGCAGCCGCGGGATCGTGCTCATGCCCACCGCCCTTCCCCTGGGAGTCCTGACACCGCTGCAAGGGCAGGACGCTGGCAGGGCCTGCCTGTCCCCGGAGACGCGCTGCACCGGGCCTGGGTGTGCCAGGGTGATTGAGGGTGTTACGAGTGGTCAGAGGGGCAAGTCCCTGCTGCCGCCTCCCCCTCCTGCCCTCTCTGCCCCACGGGAGCAGGCCCGGGTGGAAGGAGGACAGGGGTTGCCTCCCGGAGTGGGGGCAGAGCCTGCTGCTCTGCAGGCCTCTCCCTGCCCGGCCTCTGTCATCCTCTGCCCATTCCTGTTTCCCTGCCCCGTTAATCCAGCTGCTCCATCCGGACACACTGGAAATACCTGATGGCAGCGCGGGGAACAGGACTGCGAGGAAACAGGGATGTCCTCCCCCACAGAGACCGTGGCACGAAGCAAACGCACCCTTCCTGCAGCTCCCCGCTGCAGTCATCCAGCGGGGAGTTTGCGGGGCGTGGGGGCACACCAGAGCCGGTTGCAGCGGGTGTGGGGAAACGCACTGGCTGGGTTTTAAGCATGTGCCACACCTCAGCCGCCGCTCTGCGCCAGGGCCGCAGCGTCCGGCCTCGGCACCTCGCTGTAGCTGGCAGGGACGTACTGACCAGCGAGGGGCTGAGCGGAAATGCTTCCTGATCTGGGGCTGCCTCCGCGAATGCCAGAGCTCGGGCTGTGAAGGGAGGCCCCCAAGAACCAAGGGAGCCTCGGAGGCGTCCTGAACAAACTGCCTCCCCCCTCTCGGGGGAGCTGGGGCCCAGACCTGATCGGAAGCAACGGGGCCGGCGGGAAGGAGCTGGGTGGAAAACAAGGTGGTTGGAAAGGTGCTGGCGCGGGGCCGAGGGCCGGGCATCCTGCTTACCCTGCTCTGCGGGATGGCTCGGCAAGAGCGAGACGGCCGGCACTGGAGAGCCCTGGTCCGTCTCCGGCCCGTCCTTCTTGCTCTCCTCCTCCGTGTCCGAGGACGCGCTGGCCTGCGGAGCGAGAAACCAGGCCCCGTGAGCGCAAGCGGATGGAGGGAGCTGGCGGGCCGTCCCCGCGTGCCAGACTCAGACGCCGGCTGCCTGGCTGGGCACAGCCAGGCAAGTCGGTCGCTCCGCTAGTCCCCGGCCCTCGCGCGTAGGCTGGGGTCGAGCCTTGCTGGCTGGGCCGTGGGGCGCGGGGCAGATGAGACGTGCCAGCTGCGGTCTCGGTGGAGGGGGCTGCCCGCGGCAGCGTGGGAAGGGGGCGAGGGGGCCTAGGGAAGAGACGCGTCCGGCCCCGCTGGGCTCCCACCTGGTCCGGCCCGTGCTTAGCTCCCGTCGGGGGGTGCCCGGCCGCGCCGGCCTGGCTCAGGCGCTGCTGTTCCGGGGCGGGGGGCTCCAGGCGGGCGGCCTTGTCTGCGGGGA